GCTGGTGGATGACGGCATCCAACACGCAGGACGTTACCACACAGTGTAAGATGTGAGACAAGCACATTCAAGCTGCAAGGTGCACCTAATTCAGGCTTGTGAGCAATGCCCAGAGAAGGTCATGTGTGAGCTGACCTGGGAAGGATGAACAGAAGTCAAATAGACCAGAGGGTTCCGGACAGTGTCCCAGGAAGGCCAAAATGGGGGAAAGCGTAGTGCATTTAGTTAACCAAAGGAGTTGGAGTATAAGGGAATTCTGGTCCTGGATTTAGGAGACGATAGTCTCCTGTCTCCCAGTTCAGTGCTATTTTTAAAATGCAACTTGTCTCCCTAGGTCTATTGACAAATACGTGATGATTCAGCACATCTATCAATACACTGGCATAGGAAAAAAAGCAGCATACAATACATGGCTCATGCTTACCCAGGTGTAGCCTGGAAGGGATTTTAAGGGATCATTTTGTCAGTGGTGTGAGAGGGACTAGGAGCAGCCTGATACTCTGGTGCTGGCAGTAAAGGGGTCACTGTTTATAAACTGACCAAAATCATCTGCTTTTTATTATCACCATCAATTCTCAACAATGTCGTGATAAAATATGCTTTCCTTGCTCCTGCAGACACCTCACCCCTTAGTACACTAAGACACTTTGTATAGACCTGCACACGCATACAGAACAGAACCAAATAGATTTTAAAACTACCTGAAGCATCCATATTCGCCATCTATTCTGCTCCTATTACCATATATTCTCCATTCAGCTTCATTTTGTAAACACAGCTTGAGTTGTCAAAAATACATACATACAAAGAAACTCACAATGTTTATCCTCCTAAAACTATGATATTTAGCTCCAATGAAGAGTCTCATCTCCTTAAGTCTAAACTTTGTTTCCAGCTGGGGCCGCCGGGTCTCACGTCCAATGCTGTCACCTCTGTGTTCCCAGGCTCACCCAGAGCAGTCCTCACTCACGTTCTCCACTGGGCAGTCCGGCACGTGCCTGGTGGAGTCAACACCGAGAGGTCTTTCATGTCCGGCTGCATGTTGAAAAACTGGGTGGACAACATCACATTATAATTTTGGGTGGCTTCCTGGACAGGGTAACAATCCTTGACTGTGTAAATGCCAATCCAGGTTCCATAGAGGCTAGCTGATGGACCACTCCTGGATGGCGACGTGCCCCTGAGGCCCCCTGTGGAGTACTGGTCTTCAAGGGGTTCTGAAGAATGTCAAGAGGATCCTGCAGGCCGATCGGGGTGATCTTTGAGCGTAGCTTGGTGGCTTGTTCAACGTGAAACATCACTCCATCCTTACAGAGGAAAATCTACTCAAATAATCTCTTGCTGGGGAAGACCAGCAGCTTGCAGGTTGAGGGGGTGGTGAGAGAGCGGGTCGTGGCTGTGGAGCCCCCTACTCTGCGGGGGCCTGGCACTCCGCTGCCCACTGCCCTGACCCCCACCCCACCCCAAGCATGAGCCTGAGCCCAAGGGGTTGCTGCGCGGCTACAATCCCATTTCTGTTTGAAAAATTATTTTAGTTGTTGAAAAAAAGGCAAAGGGGCTAATGGGATGTGTCCCAAACTCTCCACAGTGGTTATATCCTTTTTTGTGTGTGTGAGGAAGATCAGCCCTGAGCTAACATCCATCCCAATCCTCCTCTTTTTGCTGAGGAAGACCGGCCCTGGGCTGACATCTGTGCCCGTCTTCCTCTACTTTGTATGGGATGCCGCCACAGCATGGCCTGACAAGCTGTGCGTCGGTGCGTGCCTGGGATCTGAACCTGCGAACCCCAGGCCACCGACACCGAGCGCGTGCGCTTAACCGCTACGCCACGGGGGCCGGCCCCTGTGGTTATATCCTTGACCGAGGTTATGCAGAACTTTTCCTTTCTGCATTATAGATTCTAGATCTCTGCAATGTTTGGCTTCTCACAGTGTATATTTATTTTAGAAAGAGGAAACAAAAGTAATTTTTAAGAGTTAATTTATTTAACCCCCTTCCTCCATTGGGTTCCATGCCTACCATGCCACCTTCTGGCCATGATATTGCTTCTTTTGTATGTGTTGGGGGCAAAACCCATTAAATGTGAATAGTTACGATTTTCCCCACCTACCTGCCATGGGCGGTCAGATCCAAAAGAGAGCTTTTTTGTTTTGCTCAAGTGGGTGATGGCTGGGCACGAACAGGGACTAGCTGAGGGAGGGGTAGCTGGCTTTACACGGAAGATGCCTGAAGCCCTCATGCAAAAGGCCAATTATGTGGGGGAAGGAAGCAATGAGGAGGGAGAGATGTGAGCACTGTCCTCAGCAGTGGAATTCTGTGAAGGGAGGGACTTGTATAGGGACTGTTAGGAAGGCATGATATGTAACTCCCTCCTCGTGTCCTCAAGAGACCTTCAGCAAAGATCCCTGTGACTTTTCAAGGCTCTTTGGAAAGGATTTCAGATGTGATGTTCTGAAGCGATGAGACTCAGTATAGACCAGGAAGGCCTAGATTTCTTTGCCATGCTGTGGCTGTCTCACAGGAAGGGACTGTGCTGCCCAGGCAAAGGGAGTGTTCTAGTCAGTTCCACCATTCTAAATCTCCCTATATGATTCATGGGGCTCCTGGTTTATACCTCTGTCTCTTGTGAGTTGTGTCAGTGTGAATCTATCCTGAGAGGTTGCTGACAAAATGGAATTTCTGGTCCTGCAGAGCTGAGGACCAAAATCTGTAACAATCACCCCCACCAAGATGCTGCCCCCTCAATGACTCTCCCTGAGCAGAGATGATAACTTCATTTTCTCTTTCATCTAATAAATATTTATATTTAAAAGTTATATTTATATTTATATTATGCGCCAGGTACAAGGCTAAGTGCTAAAGATACAGTGATGAGCATAAACAGATATGAGCCCAGGCTTCATGGAGTCTATAATCTAAGGGGTAAGAGATAGGCCAGACAAATTAGGTTACAAACAAATATAAAATTGTGACATTTGTTTTACCATCACAATTATGTAAGGTCTACACTTGGTTTGAGAGATTATATCAGAGGGATGTGACCCAGTCAGGGAAATCTGAAGATGAGTAAGAGATATGAAGGGAAAGAGGGGAGGGAAATGTGCTCCAGGCCGCCTTTGCAGAGGCCTGTGGGAGAAGGGACTCGGCAGGGCTGAGAGACGTGAAGAAGCCTGGGGAAGCTGAAGTGGAGAGGGAGGTAGAGTGGGTTGGGAAAGGAGGCCGTGGGGCAGGAGGCCGGGGGTGCCAGGACACGAACACACTTGCATTCATTCTGGCCAGAACGGATCAGGGGAGGCAGCTTAAGGAGCTATTGCTCACTGCCACTAGTGGATAGACATCCCAGAAAAATCTTCACACAGGCCACAAGGGGACATGCATGAGTTCGTTCACTGTAGCATTGTTTGTGGTAGCCAGCAGTTGGAGGCAATTTAGAGGCCCTTCACCGTGGGTCCAAATAACTAAAATGTGGGTGCCCGCTATCAAATATTGCACAGTTATTCTAAGTAACAGGCTAGGGGTACACACAACAAGGACAGGTCTTCAAAGCATGGTGCTGAGTGGAAAATGTAAGAAAGAGAACAAGGTTTATAGCACAATACCATTTAGCTGAATTAAAGATAAAGGCACACTAAACAACACAAATGTTTTACAGACACTCACACACACCACTGGGGAAGACGGGAGGAGTGAAGAAAAGAGATAAAAGGCCATCGATATACAAAACAAGAGAGGGGCCATGCAGAGCCCAATGATGACAGTGTGCCATAAAGTGAGAAATGAGTGATTCAACCTCCGCATCTGGGATTGAAAAAAATAAAAAGCTTCTTAGTTATTTAGGCAAGAACGGAAGTACCTTGGACTAGGGTGGGTGCGGTGGAGATGAAAAGTGGATGGACTCTGTCATATGAATGAATACATGTAAAGCATTTCAACAGTGCCTGATACATGGTAAGTGCTCAACACATTAGCTGTTATTGTGTTTATACTGCAGACACTTAGTGATGGATTGAATACAGAGCGGGGAGGGAAAAGGTGCTGTCAAGGATAACTCCCAGGTGCTGGCTCGGGCCCTTGTTGCAGAGAGGGAGGTGAGAAAATGAAATCTGAGGACAGGTGATTCTTTTGAGAAATGTGGATGTGAAGGGGAAGACAGAGCTATCCCTTACATATAGACAACCCTCTAAAACACTTTTAAAAAATTAATCAAGTAATACATGTTTATTGTAGAAAGATCAGAAATTAAAGAAAATTCAAAAAAACAATTGTGAGCCCCAAATTTCTCTGGTGGGGCAACTAAGGTTGATATTTGACATTCAGGAGAAATAGCTCCTGAGACTTACAAATGCAAAATTTGTGAAATCCCTGCTATACGCCTCATAAAATGCAAGAGATAAAGCTGAGACTGGGTAGATGGTCATGCCATTAATTGAGATAGACACCACAGAAAGAAAAGCAAGCTTGATGGAAGTAAATGATGTGTTAAGTTCTGGGCTGAAACAGTTTGTGTTGAAGTCTGAGATTCTTCTAATGAATAGAAAAATATTAAGGCTTATTGTGTGCCAGACACTGAGTTACAAACTGGGAATACACAGGTGAAGGAAACAGATGATCCTGACCTCACTGAGCTGGCAAGTGTATCAATAATCAAACAAATAAATACATAACCATAAACTTTGGTAGGGGGTATGGTATGTAAGAAATTATAAGATGCTAGGATGTAAACCATTGTAGCTAAATATTTGCTCACATCCTTAATACGTTCCTGGGAAGATTCCCTAAAAGCACGATTTCTGGGTCTACAGATCTGCTAGTTTTTATTTATTTAAAAATTTTAAAAATAGACTTTATTTTTTGGAGCAGTTTTAGGTTCACAGCAAAACCGAGGCAGAAAGTAGAGCTCTCATATACCCACTGCTCCCCCCTCAATCAACAATCTACTCGTTTTTTAGGTTTTTAAAAAATTATTACTATTTTATAGCGGCTTCGGGGAATAGGAGAGGATACTGAAAACGCACAAGAACCCTGGTTTGTTAAAACAAGGTTCAGCTGAAATGGTCGACAACAGCGTGTCAAAGGAAAGACTACATTTCCCAAGGGGCAGCGCGGCACGTCACAGAAGAAGGACGGCGCATGCGCAGAGTGGTCCTCCACGACGCGACTCACAGAGAGGGAAAAAACGTATGCGGTTCTCAACGTGCCGCGAATCTTCGAACGCAAGCGCGTTATTATCCGCAGACTTTGAAAAGGATTCGAGGAACGCGCCTGCTTCCGCCGTCGCAGTTTCCAGCGCGACGTGCTTGTTCCACCGTGGCTCGGTAGGCAGGGATGGGTCGCGGTCTGGGAGCCCCCCAGCATGGCGGGAGCAGAGGGCCCAGGCGCCCCCTCTGCTTCCCCACCCCCGGGCCTCGCTGAGGCGGCTGTGGAGTGGCGATGCGCACGCGCCTTGGGCCAGGAGAGGCGGGGCTCGGGGAGGGAGGGCCCGCGCCCGTCGTTGGGGTCTGCGCGTGCGCTGCCGGCCCTGCGAGGGTAGGAAGCAGCCGCTGGCGGGGCTGGGCGCCGGGGCCGGCGGAGGCGGGGAACCCAGTGCTGGTGCGAGAAGATGAGAGCTGAGGAGGGGCCCCGAGCTCTGGCGTTTTTTATTATATGCTCAGGATGTGCCCATTTTAACTAAACAACCTCATTCTCCCTCCAGGTGCCTCCTCATCTCTTTGCGCCGGTTTGCAGCCAAAGCTTCAGTCTGTACTTACTAGCACCGTTTCTCCTCCGAGTCTCTTCTGAACCCACTCCAGTCAGGCCTTGGCCCCCCCATGCCGCTAAAATAGCTCTTTGTCAAAGTCACCAATGATCTTTAGGTCGCCAAAATCAGTGTTTAGTTCTCAGTCCCGTAGCAGTGTCTGATGCGGCTGATCACTGCCCCTTCTTGAAACATGTTCTTCATTGGGCTTGCGGAACATTCTCGTCTTGAGCTTCAGCTCTCTCTGGCCTCTCCTCTGCTGATTCTTGCTCCTCCTCCTTATCTTTAATGATTGTGCTGCCCCAAGACCTCATCCTGGATCTCTTCTCTGTGTTCAATTCCTAGGAGTTACCATTTCAAGGCTTTAAATATTAATACCACGTATTGTGCTAACTCTCAAATTTCCATCTTCAACCAGTGCCCGACCTTGAACTCCAGATTCTTATGTTCAGCTCTTGCATGACGTCGCCTCTTAATATCTAATCAGCATCTCAAACATGTCCAAAACTGAAATTTGGAGTTTTACCCTCCACACGCCTTCATCCTCCCCAGTCTTCCCATGCTTCCAGTTGCTTAGGCCAGACACCTGAGTTATCCTTGGTGTCTTTCGCTTCTCCCATCTCCTCCTCCTCCATCCGTCTATTAGCACATATTTATCCTTGAGGCGTTGAAGTTTCATTGCTGGGTGTCTTATTGTAGGTATTCTCTTTGGCACTTGGTGGATCCTTTCTGCCTGAGAATTTGTGTTTTCAGTTTTTTGGCGTTCTCTGTCATTATTTATTCAGATTTATCCATTTATCTATTCTGTCCTCTATGGGTGTTCTGTCCTCTGTGTCCCTTTTAGAGTGTTTATTTCACCTACAAATAAGTGTTTGGAACTATTTGTTTAATATCTGCATTCATTTCTAGACTGGAGCGAGACAAGGACTGTTTGTCTCATTCACTGCTGTATATCCCTCATGTCTGGCACAGAGTAGGTACTTGATAAATGTTATTCAATGAGTGAACTTTTTTTTGCTGAGGAAGATTAGCCCTGAGCTAACATCTGTTGCCAGTCTTCCTCATTTTTTTGCTTGAGGAATGTTAGCCCTGAGCTAACATCTGTGCCAATCTTCCTCTACTTTATATGTGGGTTGCTGCCACAGCGTGGCTGACGAGTGGTGAAGGTCTGTGCCAGGTTCGGAACCCATGAACCTGGGCCGCTGAAGTGGAATGCGATGAACTTAACCACTACGCCACAGGGCCGGCCCCATTGAATGAGTGAATTTATAAGGAGGAAGTACCTCTTCTCCATAGGTGGAAAGTAGACAATCCTTCTTAGAGTATGTTGATAGCAGCTAATTTTTTCTCTGCGGTTGGGGAGGAGAAGATATTGAATAGCCCAGATTCAGAATTGTTGCAGTGTTTCTAAGACGAAAGACTGTTTGAAGAGGTTTCCAGGATTCAGTTCAGTTCAGCAATCTATTTTGAGGACTTAGTAGGGGCCAGGCCCTGTGTTAGTTGCTGAGAATATAAAATGCATAAAACTGCATCCCTGTCTTCCGAGAGCTCGTGGTCCGACAGGAGAGACAAGTAAATGAAACAGTTAGTGTCTCGGTGTATGTGTGACAAGTACAAGAATGGAATTTTGTTTCCGGTGCTTTGGAAGTTTTGATTGACCTTGGCATCAGGGCAGGTGAGAAGAGCCTGGGGCAGCCAGATCCCCCTGCCAGGCTTTTCTGGCTGTGAGCAGCTTTGCCCTTTTACCCCAGCGTGCTATACAAATATTATCACGTTCTCTGTGTGCTGTGGTGTGAGAAAGGTTGGCAAGTACTGCTGTAAAAGTGTTAATTTTGCTGCCATTTAATTTGGACCCTGAATAATGAGTAAATTTGAGAGACCCAGGGGGAGGAGGGAAAAGGATCAAAGGGCATTTCAGGCAAGCATAACAGAAGCATGAAAGTCTGTGTTGGGGGCACTGGAGTTGTTCAGTGTGGTTATTGGAGGGTAGGGTTCAGTAGGAGAGGGCCGTTTGAGAGGTGCTGTCCAGGATCTGAAGCAATGCCTTGAAAGTGTTTTATAAATACCTGACCCAACCATGAAGCACCCTCTTCTCAGTGGGTAGGTCCATTAGAGTCCATAGTTTTAGCAACCAACTTTGTGGCGCTGGAAGTAGGGACATGCAGTAAGTCACAGGCCTTTTTTTATGATGTCTAAATTTGAATATAGAGATTCTTATAAAAGTTTTAAAAATGAATCTCATGTAGACTTTGGATGAATCATTTGTATTGAAAAAATACCCAATTTATGTCACTTCAGGATTTGTGGTCACTATGTCTGTGGTGTGGAGGGTAGTTTGGTGGACCCTGAACCAATGGTAGTTGAATGTTGATGATACTAAGGGCTGTTTGAGCCCTTAAGGCTTAGGTTGTGCAGTCAGACGTATCTGGATTTGAATCCCTCCTCTGCCACTATTACTTGCATGACCTTGGTAAAATCATTTGTTTCTCCAAGACTCTAGTTTCCACGGTGCTAAATGAATAGTACTTACTTTGCAGGATTATTAGGAGGGTTAAATAAGATAATCTACATAAAAGTGCTTAGCACAGGGTAGGTACTCAGTAAGGAATAGCTGTCATTGTTACCTTTATTTTCCTGCTCTTTTTTTCAGATGGCACAATGAGTCACCATCTTACTGGTGACACTTTCAGGGTAATCGTAATGACCTAACAGTTGATTGGCAGTTTACGGTAGACAAAATGCTTCTATTTCCATGATCTCTTTTGCTATTGAGTATGCTGAAGTTCTAACAAAACTTGGAATTGGGAGGAAGAGCATAGATTTTAGAGTTAGCAGTCTTGCGATCCCAGCTCAACTACCTGTATTTCCTGAGTTACCTAGCATAATTTAACCTCTCTGAACTTCACTTTCCCCAGCTGTGAAGTGGGTGTGCTTATAGGATTGCTGTAAGGTTTCAGTGAGAATCACTTGTGTGAGCTTCAGTACAGAAGCATGGTAGGTACTAGGGGAAAAAAACAGTCATGTCTTCTCCTTAATTTTTTTTTTTTAACCAATTGATGATTGTAGAGTCTTATTGATGGTGGCTGGATTGAAGGTATGGGTTCTGACTATAGAGTCTTAGATCTTGCTTCCCTGTGACTCAGAACAAAGCTCTTATTGTCTTAAGCCCCGTGGGATTAATTTTAGAGTGGTTTAAGTGTAGGATGTTTGGATTTCTTTGTATGAGTCCTTAGCTGCTAGTAGAGGGGCCAGAAAACAGTTTTAGGCTGGGTGTTTTGTAGTTAATGTGTGCTTCCACCTTGCAACCTGTGTCCCTAAGAATTACCTGTTAGTCAGACTTCTCAGTCGTGGATAACAAAAGCTAACCCAAACTAGCCTAAGCAGAAAAGGAGTGTCTATTGAATCTAACTGAAGAGTCTTGGGTATACCCGCTGCAGGCATGGTTATATCCAGAAGCCTAAATTATGTCACCAGTATTTTCTATGTCTTTCAGCTCTGCTTTCCTCCATGTTGTTTTCTCTCTCAAGCAGGGAAAAGCCCCCATCAGTTCTGGGCTTCTGTGCTACTCTCTTAACAATCAACTGAAAGAGGGTATCTCTTCGCAGATAGCGCCAGCAAAAGATCTGAAATTGATTTTGGCCAGACTTGGGTCACATATCTCTTGGTGGTCAGGGAGAATGTAATATGTTCATGGGCCCAGGTCATGTACCCATCCTTAGAGCCAAGGTGAGAGATGGTTTCCCAAAGGGAAGTTGGAGCTCTGTTATCAAAATGGAGAAAAGGTGCTGGGCAGTGTACTCAGAGGTTGCTTCCGGTAATGGTGGAATAGCTCATAACAGGCCAACCCTCCCACAAATAATGATTAAAAAACCCTGCACAAAATATAAAAGACCGCTATCTGAAGGTACTGGAGAGCAACCAAAAGCAGGCAGTAAATAGAGAGGAGTTGACACCCAGAAGAAGGGAGTGGCCTTGGTGAATCTCCTATTTGTCTGTTGTTGTTTTTAATGCCTTGTCACACGATAATGGCCCATCTTGGAAAGATGATAGCCGCAGAGAAGGAGTTCCAAATTCTTTTTTTTTTTTTTTTT